TCAAATGCAGGGGATGGAACGTGGTTTTATGGTTGTAAATAGGATCTCAATAAATCTGCTTTTAATGAAAGACATTAAAGAAACACAAAATGTAGAGACCTGGTCCCTGTGGCATGACAGCCCTGGGAGACATCATGAGGACATTCCACTTATGGAGACGACAGAAAATTTAGAGAAACTTGGATCCCCTGGCCTTCTTCCCCCAGGCATGTTGAGGCATGTGCGTGCTGGGTACTTTGTACTGTCAACCTGACATAACCTAGAGTTACCTGGGAAGAGGGAATATCAGTTGATCAGATCAGCCTGAGGCCCTGTCTGAGGGAGATTAATTTGATTGACGGCTGATGTGGGAGGGCCCAGTCCAGTGTGGGCAGTGCCATCCCTAGGCAGGTGGGCCTGGATTACATAAGAAAGGTAGCTGAGCATGTGTCTGAGATTGAGCCAACAGAAAGTGTTCCTTTGTAGTGTCTCTGTAAGTTCCTACCCTGACTTCCCTCAGTGATGTACTGTGACCTCCAAGTGTAAGTCAGATAAACCCTTTCCTCTCCAGGCTGTTTTTCATCATGGTGTTCATCACAGCTACAGAAAGCAAATACCTATAATCCCAGAACTTGGGAAACTGAGGCAGGAGGATGGCAAGTTTGGAGCCAGACTGGGTTACATAGTGAAAGTCTGTCTCAAAACAAAACAAATCAATTAAAGAAACCCACCAAAGGCCCAGCCTTGGTTTCAGATCCTCACTGTGGGGACAACCATAAAATATAACAAGCGCCTATAGGGAGGATAGAGCCTAGGAAACCCCGACAAGCTATACGTGAGTCCTTCACGGGATCTGGAGCCCACTCTGCCCACAGGGAGGCAGGGTCTACCTGCCACCATCTCTGCTATGACCTCCAGAAAAGCCCCCTGACCCGGAAGGACAGTTTCCCACTCCATGCTGCCTCCCAGAACTGTCACTCCAAGCTTCAAACATGGACGCCAAGTAACAAGCCCCAGTTTGCTTCCAGCACCACCACCGCCACCGCCGCCAGCGGCCCTGGCACTTCATATGCCCAGGCCCTATGAACTCATAATAGGGAGGACTGGGATCAGCAGAGCCCCAAGTTCCTTCAAGGAACAACTCAAACACAGCCCTCCATCCTTGTGACTCCCAGACACAAGGTTTAAATCCACTATGGGCTAAGATAGGCCCAAACCTCTATAAGTGGAAGGCTAAGGATTAGACAGGGCCTCGCACATGCCAGGCAGGACTCTTCCACTAAGCTACAACCCATGTTATTTTATTGTCAGCTCCTCCTTTTGAGACAGGGTCTCAATACATTGCCCTGGCTGGCCCTGGTCTTGCTGTCCTACTGCCCCAGCCTCCCATATAGCTCTGCACCACGGAGCCTGGCTCTGGGCCCTAGATCTGCATCATAGAATAGGTGTGGTGCCCTGAGTTTGGCTCCTGCCTGTGCCTCACAGGGTCTCCTGTTAACCAAATTCCATTCCAGCTAGCTTTGGGAGACTTTATAACCACTCCCCCTGCCTGGAGCCCCTCCTCTCACAGCCCTCCAGTGGCCACAATGCTAACTAACACAGGCTACTGCCTCCAGCACGTCTCCCTACTCACAAGGGAAGTCAGAGCCCCGGAACCCCAGATGGGCACAGGGCACTGCCACCTCCCCCAGCTTCTCCTCACTGAGGCCTTCACACCTGTCACCACTGAGCCTGTGACCAGCAACCCAGGTCATCCAGAGCTCTCCCAGGGCAGAGACACAGATTTTGCCCAGTTCCGCATCTGCCTCAGGGAAAATGATCTGGTCTCAGAAGCAGATCACCTTCTGGACAAAGCAATGCAGACTTCAAAATGGTTCTGATTCTGTCCTTTCCTATCACTTCGTCCATAAGCCAGAAGGTTGAGCTCTCTAGGCTTTGATGGGGATGGAGGGATTCAATAATCACTGAGTGGCCAGAAGGTGGGGTCTGGGACAGAAAAGCTGACATCTGAACTTGAGGGTCAGTGTATAGACACCTGCCCTGCAGAGTGAGGCCCAAAGGAAGTGGCTCCTTCCTGCCTGTTTTCAAAGTCAGGACTTCCTCAATGTCAGGGCCACCTCTTGCTGTTTTTGAGGCTCCCTCTGCTATAAGACAACACCCTACCAAAGTCCCCTGAGAAACAGACTTCAGAGCCCCTCTCCATGGCCTGGAGAGGCAGGCATATGGCTTCCATTTAGAACATCTGGACATGCTCAGAGGCAGAAACAGCCCAGCTGAGGCAGTGGGGATCCCTGGTACAATTCTGACTCCCAGGCAGGACCCCCGCCCCAGTTAGGACTGGACGATGGATGGAAACCACCTTCTCCAGGCCCCAGGGCTGCCATGGCAACAGGGCTGGGGTCATTTCCGGTCTGTCTCTTAGTGAGCCCAGGGGCTCACTAAGTAAGTAAGAGAGTAAGGCAAAGCCCTCTCTCTAACGTCTCCCCAATCCATGGCCCCCAAACTTCCCTCCAATAGCAGCCTGGAGACCCTGTGTTTCAGACTCCGCTTTCCTCAGATGCTTGGCAGGCCATCAAGAGCCCCATCCATATATCCTGCTATCACCCACCCTCACCAGCTGCATGCCCATGCTTTATCTGCTTAATGCACTCCACTCTGTTAGGCCTCCAAGGGAGCAGCCCACCTTGTTCCCTAGCACAGCTCCTGCCATAGACAGGGCCCTATAAATGCCTGCTGAAGAAGAAACCTGTGGCAGAACAGATGGGAGTAAAATCAGTACCATCTCCTAATCCTTGGTGAGCACTCAGCTCATGCCAAGCACAGCCACAAATGAGCTCACTGCAGCCTCAAATCAGCCCTAAAGCAGGGCTTCTAGGTTGTCTGCAGATGGAGGAACTGAGGCATAAAGGGCCAAGCCATTTGCCCATGGTCATGGAGTCAGCACATGAGCTGGTAGTGATGGTGAGCTCCACCAAAGACTGAGAGAGAGGCCAATGTCTGAGAACCCTCTCCAACTAACGCTTCAGTGACATCCTGGCCCTGCTTACTATAGCCTTCCCCGCCTTTGCCTGAGCTAGGCCCCTGCGGTAGATGAGGGTAGCCTCCATCGCCCTTCATCAATGCCACAGCTCAAACACAGCTGAGAAGGCCAGGCACAAAGACCCACCAGGTTAGCAAAGCTGTCCCAGTTCCCACAGAGCCACTGGCAACAAGAAGCTGGGGAAGCCAGGGCTGTTTCTATTCTGGAAACCCAGAGGCTGCAGGCCAAGGGCACTGAGCCCTCCCACACACGTGCACTCCATTAGACCTTCCCTGCCCCCTGCAATTCCAGACTCAGGGCTGGGTGGAGAACAACTGGGGCCCCAGTCCCAGTCAGTCAGTCACAGGCCTCCCCCATAGCCACACCTCCCTAGCAGGCTGGTGGCAGGGAGTCACAGGAAGGAAAGCAAGCTGAAGGCAGAGCTTCGTGTAGAATGAGGAAGCCTCACAGCCCCCAATAGCACCCGTGCTGCCCATATACATGTTCCAAACACACCCTGTGACCAGCAAGTACCATGGGAGCTCTCACAGACAGGCAGACACTTAGTAGATAAAAAGCCCACTCACAGCTGGGGGCAACAGGATAGGAACATGGTCACAATGTGAATACCTCAGGACCTCTCACATCCACTCTGCCTGAAAGCCTTCCCAGACCCCTCCCTTAGAACTCTCAAAGCCGGGAACCCAGAGCCACACCCGTCCACTCTTGCCTTTCCAGGGCCGCTGGGACCTACCTGCTCACAGATAACTCCTAACAAGGATGTGTAGCGTGAAAAGTACAGGACTGAACAAGACAGAGGCTCTGGCTGTAGAGAGAAGCTTCTAGAAAGCATACAATTTCCCAGGTGGTATCACAGGGAGAGTTGGTGGGTTGAAGGGAGATGAGACTTCAGGGAAGACTTCCTGAGGAAGGTGCTGCCTGAGCTTGAACCAATGTAAGCAAATGCTGAGAACAGCAGAGAGATCGGGTGCTCAGGGAGACAATGAGTCAACTAGGGTGAAGAATGAGGAAGAGAGGAGGTAAACAGGGGTCTCCCATTGGTTCCATCCATCACCCAACACTTATAAAATGCCAAATGTATGCAGGTAAAACCACGGCTCTAGGGCTCAGCACCAAACCTGGCTTGTGTAACGCTAAATATCAGAAAACAATAAGCAAGGACCCAAGTAATTCTGTTTATAATGTCAGCAGTGGCTGAGAGAGATCAAAGCTGCAAGAAGGAAGGCAGGTGGCAGAGAAGGCACCCTGAGAAGTTGGCCTGGCACAGTGCAAAGGACCAAGTCATCCAGATACCTGTCAGAGCATCTTAAGCAGAGGTTGTGGCAAATGCAAAGGTCTCTGGGCCAGAGGCTGCATGGCCAAGAACCCAGTGGGCCTGAGCTGACCATGGGGAAGTGTGAGGGGTCAGAAGAGGTTAGAAGGCCACTGGGCAGCATGTGGTCACCATAGGGACCTTAGCTTCTACTTTGTTTAAGCTGTAAGCCACTGTAGTGGCACCGAGAAAAAAGAGCTGACACGTCAACCAGGCTCCTGCCGGAAAGAGCAGCAGTTAGAGCCACAACAGAACGTGTTGTGCCACCAGCTGGGCCTCTGTAGGACATTCAAGGGCCGCTGATCAGGTCTGCAGAGCTCTGTAATTCCCACTAAGACACCCCTGGACTCCAGTCAGCAGGATTGGGCTCTCCTCTGATGAAGAAAACCTTCTATGCCCTCAGCCAGAGCCCACCAGGAACCCTGTGCCTCCAAGAACAAGAACGTCTCTGTACCCCTCTGTCCCAGGTCTATGAAAGGGCAGCTGCTGAGACCTCCCCTGGCTCGTGCCACTCTGTCTTAGGCCTTCAAGAGAGCTGCCATGGGAACCTCCACCAAGCCATCCCACTTTGTCTCAGTCCTGAGAGATGGAAGCTGCGAGGAGCCCATAGGCAGCGACCGTTCCTTCCAGACTCAGTGGCCCTACCAGGAACACCAGAAAGGGCCTTACCATCAGGATCACCTCTGGGGACAGAATGTACTGAATTGGGGTCTGTGTCCTCTTCTGTTCGGGATCGAGGTAGCAACTGCGGACGCTGGGGTATTTCTTTAGGCATCTCTGGGGAAGGTGAGACCTGGGCTCTGTCAGGCGGCAGTGTGGATAGAGTGGGATGACTGCTGGACTGCTCTGGGTCCTCACGAGGGCTGTCTGTGGCCAGAGATGGGCTGAGACCAGCCAGGCCCGATCTAGGCAGGGGTACAGCACCCTCCTGCACAGCACTGCGAGGAGTGGCCTGGGCATCAGGAATAAGGTTTTCTTCAGGCCCTGCCCTGGCTTCAGCCTCCTTTTCCTGGACAGGGAGACCAGGTCTGGCTGGGGATATCGTGGGCAAGCTGTCCAGCCTCCCAGGACCACCTGCTGCTGGTGGCTCAGTGACCACTATCTCTTCCACGTCTTCCTCCTCTTCCTCATCCATGTCCTCTGTCACTCTTCTGGCTTTGGCTTGCACAGGGGCTGGGGGACCCAGGGCAGCAGCTGCCGTGGGTCTGGGGAGGGCAGCTGGCCAGAGGGTTGCTCGAATGGATGACGGTGGTAGATTCCCACCTCCCAGAGAAGCAGGGGGGCCCTCTGCACCTGCCTGAACCTCACTCACCATGGCCACAGTGGTTTCTGCCTCGGCCACCTCCTGGTCATAGCTGTAGGGGTCTTCATACTGCCGCCCAGAGTCACCCTCCTCAGCATCTGAGAAGTTCCCATTACAACCAGGAAGCTGGTAGCAAATGAGCTCACCACCAGCATCAGGACAGTGGCAGGCCTGGCAGGGTGAGAGGTGGACGGTGTGGCCGGCGGGGTACTTCCGGCCAGTGTGGACACAGCCCACCTGGCCACACTGTGGGCAGCTGTCAGCTACCACCATGGCCTCAATGCAGTTGGGTGGCAGCTCGGGGCACAGCATAAACTGACAGCTGATCTTGCCACCGCCTGGAGGGCAGGAGCACTCGGTGCTGCCAAAGTCCACGAAGTAGGACTGGCCAGCTGGCACACGGCCATCCACAAAGCCTCCCTGTACGCAGTCGTAGTACTGGTAGCCTTCGCAGGCACAGCCCTGCTGCACACAGGTAGCACAGCAGGCTCCTGGCTCCAGTGCCTCCTCGATGCAGTTCTCCAGCGGTGGACACTTGGCACCTGTGCAGTCCTGCCACGGCACTGCCATGCCTGGGCTCGGAGTCAGGGTCGTGACCAGAGCCAGTGCCAGCCACACTGCCGCGGGCTCCTGGAGCAGCATCATGTCTCTAGAGGCCCTAGGAAGATAGGAAGAAAGTCTGTCACACCAAGGACACACACGGAGAGGGAGGAGGGGCACACCCCGGCATGTGTACACACAGCACACAGCCATCTCTACCTCTAGGCATGCCCTTCTACCCTCAGGCATCCCTCAGTCCTGCTCTCTCTCATACACAGAAATGCACATGCAGGGAAGAGGCAGGAATGGGAGCGTGTGTCACTCAGGTGCCACGGATGCTGAAGCAATGTGGCTCTACATCTGTATACTCTGGGTGACTTCAGCCCTCTGAGTCATCTAGCCCAGTCTCTCTCGCATACACACGCTCAGGTAAAGGTAAGGGAGTGCGCATGAGTGCATGCTCGTTCAGTCTGTCACTGTGACCTCACCCTGCCCAGTCACCCAGACACACTCATAGGTCATCCTGCACACATACTCCCATTTCCAAATCTGCACATAGCAGAACAGTTTTCTTCCCCCAAAACACTTGGATGCACTCCCAGACACGGCTGCTAGTCAGGGGGTGTAGTGAGGGGTGCCGGGCAGGCACAGGCCCCCTCCAGGATGACACAGCCATTTAACTCTGTGTATACTGCACCCCCAGACCTCAGACTCCAGAGCTTAAGCTCATCCATCCCATAAGATCCTGGGAATTCCAGGTCAACCTGGGATGCTCCTGCCATCTCCTCACAGCATCTCACTGCCTCTGTCCTATCTATCCCCAAGACCAGCTCTCACTGCTGCTCCAAGGCACACCCCCACCTTCCTGCTTAAAGCTCAGCTTATCCATCTCTCCACCATGCCTCTCTGTCTTTCCCTGGGACACCAGGGTGATCTGGGAGCCACTTCCATACACACAGCCTGTCTGGCTTCCATTACCGGCAAGAAGAGGCCAGTCCCCCCAGCCATGCTCAGCACTGGCAGTATTCCCCCCGCCAATCAGGGATGCTGCCCGGAGCCTCCACACTCCCATTCCTGCTCTTCTCAAAGTCTTCCACAACCGCTCAGACGCCATTTTTCCACCAAGCCTCACTGCTACAAAAGTTACAGGTCCCCAAAGGCACAGTGACTCAGTGTCAGGCCATTCCCTAGATAGCACATGAAAGGATGCTCTCACACCATCAGTTCTTTCTGACAGCGCCTGTTTGATATGTGAGCATGCACACGTGTGTGTGTGTGTGTGTGTGTGTGTGTGTGTGTGTATACGTGGATGCGCACATGTATGTGCATGTGTGGTTTGCCTGTGTGCATCTGTGTGCACACATGTGGATTTGCCTGTGTGTGTGTGTGTGTGTGTGTGTGTGTGTGTGTGTGTGTGTGTTTCTGGGGGACACATATGTACACATGTGTATACATTTGAGTGTTTCTGTTACACATGTGTATTATGACAAAAGACAACCTCAGATTTCATCCTCAAAAATGCTGTCCCCCTCCTTTGAGACAGGGTCTCTCCCTGGGCTAGAACTCGACAGTTAGGTTAGACTAGCTGGCCAGTGAGCCCTAGGAGCTCCTCCCATCTGCCTCCTCAGACCTACAGTTACAGGGACGTGGTACCAAGCCTGGAATTATTACATGGGCTCTAGGAATTGAACCCAGGTCCTTGTGCCTACCTTATTGAGCGGGCAAGCCCAGCCCTGTTTTTTATCTTTTAGAAAATACAGCCAAGTATAGTCTCTGGGCCTTAATATTTGTCCTTTTTTTAAAATTCTTTTATGTATTATTTATTTAGAGACAGGTCTCACACTGTAGTCACAGCTGTCCTTGAATGCAAGAGAAGCCTCCTTTCTCAGCCTCCTAAACATGGCCGTAGTTATGGGTCTGCACCACCACAGCCAATTCTCACTTCAAACACTAAGAAGATGGCAACTTCTTGAAGGTCTGTGGTGGGAAAGAGGAGTTCAAAGAGCACTGAGCTTTCCAGAGAATGGACATGCTCGGGCCGCCCAGCTCCCTCCAAGTCAGGCAGGGTAAATATGGCCTGTCAGCATGGCCTGAGCCCTGAAGGCAGCGATGAAATAATGGCAGGCTAATTTCCACCAGCTGCGGCCACCAGCTGACTGGGAATCTATGCTAAGTATGTCCGGGGACTCAGGGTTTGTCAGCCAGTAAGATGAGCCACCTGGCTGAGCTCCCAGAGCTGAAGGCCCTGGGGGGAGGTGGTAAGTGCCCACCTGTGCCAGGCACTCTTTAAAACAGTAAATAAAGAGAGACGTTGGTAAGGCTCAGGTTGAGAAGTCTGCTGTCTTGAGAAGTCAGGGAAGGCTTCTGACAGGAGGTGGCATCTGACTGAGACTCGATAGCTTTCTGGAGGCGAAGTGCTTCAGGCTCGGGACAGCACAAGCTTGAAGCAAGAGCAGCAGGAGGCAGATGAGGAACTCCAGTGGAGGGGAGGGGGGAAGTTGGGAGGAGCTGGCAACAGGTGAGGAGGGAAAGAGTGGTCAAAGCAGGTAGGCTTCCCCTGGGTGAGTGAGGGACATGTGGTCTGCCAGCAGCCTGGGGCATGACAACGACCCTGTGCACACCCTGTGTTGAGAGCAGCACAAAACAGACAGATACCATGAAGATCGGGTCCATGGAGTTTGTAGACAGACAGGATTTAGTCAGGCGGGGAAAGGAGCAAGGGTTTTGGAAGCCTCCAAGAGGAAGCCACAGATGGAGGGCTATGGATATTCTGAGGGATGTGAAGTCCTATTTGGGCCAGGCAGGGTTTGGGAAGGCAGGTGGCATACTATAAAAATGACACTGGAAGAGGGAGCCTGTGCCTATGCCAGGTACTACAGAATCTGAGTGATCTTTGGAGCCCTGAGGGCTCACCCCAACTGACTAAGTCTCCACCCTTCCAGAAGCTGACAGAGTAGAAAGAGGAAGGAAGATCCAAGCAGCCTCCAGCCTCCACAAACCTGCCTTGAACTCCACAAGCCTCCAAGGGCTTCTTTACATTCACAAATGATGTGCACCAGAGTAAGGGGCTCAATCACCTGTAGCCAGGGTCCCCCCCAGTTTCCCCTGTGAGCCCCACCCTCCAGAGGTGAGGTAAAAATAAGACATATGCTAGAGCAGCACCATGTGAGGACAGCTCCATCCGGTGTGTCCTGAAGCCACCACGTTACAAGGCACCACATACAGCTGGCACACACTCCACACTCAAGGAGCACCGGGCTGCTCTGTGAGTTCATGGAGCTCCTGTGAAAGTCACTATCTGGCTGTCTGACCCCAGATATGCTGCTCAGGGCCAGAGAGGCTGGACTCTGCTGCGACCCCATCTTGGCTTTCGGCTTTCTGTCCAGTCAAAGAGAGAGACAGAAAGGCTGGGGTGTCCACTCCTTGCTTGTTTTCCTCTTTCCATCTGGTATACTGTGGCAGTTCTCCTTTCCCCATGGCCACAGCTCCTGTTTCCCCACTCTCCCTCCTACTGTCATAGCCATTGTTGGCTCCCCCTGGTTGCCCCTTGTCCTCCAGACCCAGGTGGCCACTGCTCCCTTTTTGTCCTGCCTGCACCTCTTGATGCACCCCACAGGATGGAAAGCAAGGACCAAGCGTATCTTCAAAATGGAGCACCAAGTGGGAGGGTAGAAACGAGAACAGAAACACAGTCACTGCGGCAGCCCAACATGTGCAAAGCAAGAGTGTTCCTGAAATAGAAGGACACGCACTGAGGGAGCTGGGGACTGGGCCAGCCTTGCTTGCTTCCCAAGCACGAGGACCTGAGTTTGATCCCCAGCACCCTCTAAGAATCTAGGTGCAGCCACACATGCCTGTAACCCCAGCACTGAAGAAGAGGAGACAGGAGGATCCCTGGGGCTTGCTGGCCAGCCATCCCAGCTGAATCACTGAGCTCCAGGTTCAATGAGAGACTGTGCCTCAAAAAGTAATGTGGAGAGAGAGGAAGACACCCATTGCTGACCTCCGGCCTCCATACACATGCACACTCACAAATGTGCACACACATATACCACATGGACACACAATTTTTTTTTAAATTTTTAGAAAACGCATGCCTTGACTTCACCATGGACCGGTCCTTATAGGTAGGGGCCCACTCAGCAAAGTCCCCTCTCCAAGGGCACCCAATGAAGACACCTCTCCACATCCTTCTCATACAGGCCCCTGGGTGAGCAGGATGCCCAAGAGGAACAGGTCTTTGACATAGCAGTCACAAGTGCACCAGGACATTGCTTAGACTTCTTCTTCTGTGACTGGGCACGGCTCCACCTTGTGTCCTCACTGTTCCCCGACCCTCCACAAACCACAGTCATCTAGTGAAGTGATTGACAAGTTAACCTCCGCACGGCTGCATGACTCTGAGCTGGCCAGGGCACTGGAATGCTAGAGTGGCCCCCGGAAGGCATACTATTGCTGCCATTTTAAAACTGGGGTCTGACCCATTGAGAACAATGACCTCCCTGCAGCAGTCCACAGAAATCTCCCTTATCCTGTAGGAAAGCACCCTGGATCCCTGGGGGATGCCTGAGACCTCAATCACCTCCAAATCCTGCACACACTGTACTTTAGACGGAAGCACCCTCACCAGCAAGCCACCTTCCTCCTTTACTGCAAACCTTCCTCCTTCCCCTTCAGAGAGCACTTCATGCCTCTCTTTGCCATATCTATTAGCACTGTCAACTCTTCTGTCAGCACTTCTGTGCTTTGTGGCCATGATTAAGTAGCATAGGACCACTTAAAGACCACATAACAATGCCACAGCCTACTAAGTGACTAGCCAGAGGGCAGCAAACACAGCATGGATCCTCTGGACAGAGCGGCTCAGGTCCCAGGCAGGAGGGCACTAGATGTCATCACTTGCCCCAGAATTCACACCATTTCAAACCTGTGATGCTTATTTCTGAGATTTTCTACTTGGCATTCTGGACCACAATTGGCCGTAGATGATTAAGCTGTGGAAGAGGAAACCGTCAACAAGGAAGCATTTCTGCATGAGACTCAGTTCCATACTAAGAGAGGCTTTTGCTTCTCCAGTTCTGACAGCTTTCTGATTCTGACCAGAAGAGGCCTGCTAGA